TCTGGGGCAGGTGAGTTACCTATTGAGAGTCTTATTGGAGCCATCTGAGAAAATTGACAGGAGTGTGCACAACACTCGCATAGAGCGCATGTGGTATGACATCACCCACGGCTTCGGGATGAAGTGGAAGAACTTTTTCTTAGATCTTGAAGTCAACCACGGGCTCAATCCACAGTCATCTGACGACAGGTGGCTTCTCCATCACCTCTTTCTTCACTGCATGGAGTGGTACCTACCACTTTTATGATAAAACCTGGGCATTTGCCTGCACAGTCTTTTCAATCCCCCCAAGTGAAATATGAAATGAAATGCCTAGGCTATTTCATTCTTGCTTGGCAGCTATTTCATTCCTACCCACCACATTTTTCATTTCTCCTTGACAATGAAATACATTTCATTCTTTTGCCTGTGCTTTTTCATAACTTTTTCATTCTTTGCCAACTTTATTTCTTTTCTTTTCATTCTTTGCCAGTATCATTTCATTCTTTTGCCTGCGCTTTTTCATAAATTTTTTCATTCTTTGCCAGTCCTATTTCATTCCATTGCCTGCACCTTTTCATAACTTATTATTTCATTGTTTGCCATGTTTAAGGTTAGGGTTGCACTTTAAAAAAATGAAACTCATTTCATTGCCTCTCTAAGCCTTTTCATAACTAAACACACATTATTTGTTTGTAAATAATAAACATATGTATTCTCAAATTAATAGCTATAGTTTGACCTAATCAACCCCTGGCTTGTGATCTTTACATTTGTTTGTATTTGAGGCCATAATCTAACTTAATTGAGCAATAAACATGTAAATTGAGGCAACTAAAAGATCACATGTCTTATATTTTGATCCCATCATAACCAAACAAATATATAAGTTATGAAAAAGCACAGGCAAATGAATGAAATAAGACTGACAAAGAATGAAAAAATTTATGAAAAAGCGCAGGCAAAAGAATGAAATGATACTGGCAAAGAATGAAAAGAAAAGAAATAAAGTTGGCAAAGAATGAAAAAGTTATGAAAAAGCACAGGCAAAAGAATGAAATGTATTTCATTGTCAAGGAGAAATGAAAAATGTGGTGGGTAGGAATGAAATAGCTGCCAAGCAAGAATGAAATAGCCTAGGCATTTCATTTCATATTTCACTTGGGGGGATTGAAAAGACTGTGCAGGCAAATGCCCAGGTTTTATCATAAAAGTGGTAGGCACTAGTGACGTGAGGTGGTGACGACCATTTAGCAAGGGTCGGCGAGCGAGGGCGATGGCTTGGTTTCAGGCAATGGCTTGGTTTCAGGCGATGGTGATTGACTGGTAGGCGACGGACGACACATCGACGGCT